TCATAAACTACTTATGGAAGAAATGTTTTTTAGACCACATCAAAGTTGAAAAAAATGCTCCTTCTTGTTCTCTGGAGAGGACTTTGAAACTCAAATTACTGAAAAAGTACACAGTAAAAGTAATTCATATTATTTTTGCAAGTAGTCTAAGAAGTACTAAGTACAAACATGGCAGTTTCATAAACTACTTATGGAAGAAATGTTTTTTAGACCACATTAAAGTTGACAAAAATGCTCATTTTGTTCTCTGGAGAGGACTTTGAAACTCAAATTACTGAAAAAGTACACAGTAAAAGTAGTTCATATTATGTTTGCAAGTAGTCCTAGAAGTATTAAGTACAAACATGGCAGACTCATAAACTACTTATGGAAGAAATGTTTTTTATCCCACGTCAAAGTTAGACAAAAATGCTCCTTCTTGTTCTCTGGAGGGAATTTTGCCATTCTCAAAAAGTACAAAGTAAAAGTAGTTCATAGTATTTGTGCAACAAGTTTATGAAGCAATAAGTCCCAACATTATTCTCATAAATTACCCTGCTCCTCAATCGCAAATAATAGAAATGAACCAGATGCCATCCTTTACTTTGAAATCCAGCTTCCCAGAGTTGTTTTATTGCATTACCGTAAACCTGTAACTAATCGCGCACTCAAAATACAGGGGCGGCTGGTTTGACCGCGCAAAAGTGAAAGACGGCTGGCTTGACCGCAGTCTCAATTTGAAGGGAGATAAATTGATGGCTAAATTAGGGCACCACATATATCTGGAGACTGATACACATTCAGGGAAACACTGGCCCTAACAAAGTATTGTTTGTCGTCTATGTATATTTAAGGTATTGCTCTACTGCATGTCCTAAAGTTAGAGGACTATGTGCAAAGAGGGCAGATCATCTTGTACTGTTTGCAATTAGGGATCCATGCACCCTCAATGTGAAATCTCTGAAATACATTATTCAATAAGTTGCTGGAAAAGATAACAATATGTATTTTTGTAACATTGGCTCATTTTATATTTTGCTCTGGCATATTATGCATCATAAACAAAAACAAATGAACACATCCTGTGTTTTCTTGTTTTCAGGCTGCATTTTGTGCTCTGCCCTCTCGTGATCTGCTGGTGGTGACCTCTCAGAAAGGCATCCAGGTGAGTTTTGCTTTCTCTGCGTTTATTGGCAGCCTCTATGTCTGAACTGAAGTCTGTCATTGAGTGTGTTTTTTAGTATTTATTTATGTGTTTCACATCCTTTTATTCGCCTATACATCCATTTTTATAGATTTATGAATCTGATGGCTCCACCATGGTGTATTGGCATGCACTGGATACTCCGGATACACCTACAGGTACATTTAATCTAAACTGTGGATTTGGAACAGATGCAGGCACTCAGAGTCTCAACTATTTGCATTAACACTTTGTAAAGATTCAATAAATATGATGCAGTTTAATAGTGTCAGATATTGTATAATACAATAGAATATAAACAAAGATACTTTGTTGTTCTGTGGAAATGTGTCAGTGTACGTGATCCATCCTCACAACACAAACATAATTAAAAACATCATTGGAAGGACCTGATTATTATAATCAAATTAACATTTTCCAGACATCTACACCTACCTAATTATATCTAAACAAGCACAAATGGCAGGATCTGCTTGTCAGGTGTACTTATTGATACCACTGATCACACATCTACACATGTGTTCATGTATGCATATTTGTGCAATCACACATTCACGTGTGGGATAAAAAGCATTAATCCAGAACTGAATTGTATTCCAGATCAGGCCGTGTTTGCTCGGGGGATATCAGCAGTGGGGAACAGTTATATATGTGTTGGTAAGTAACAGAAATGGAAGTCATTGTTTTGCAAGTCACAAGTATGTCTCAAGTATTTGACCTCCTGTACCATGCCAAATCCCAAGTCAAGACTGACTGGTCTTAAGTCAAGTCCCAAGTCCTAAACTAAACTATGTTCTATCCTAAACGGGTCAAAATGTGCTCTTTAACAAATGTAATGCAATTTCCGACAAGCAGGTTTTGCATATTGCAGTCTGTTTTTGTTTAACAAAAACTTCTTGTACACAAACTTATCCTACACAAATGTATCTTTAGTATTTTTTTCTCCGTGGGGCTCAGTAAAGTAACGTTGGTTCTTAAGGGTTTTTTTTACAACTTCATTGGATGCTGTTGAATTTGTTCAAGCTAAGAGGAGCTGGGGAATTAAGTTGCAACTTGTTGAGAATAAGCAGTGAAAACATGAAATGAGTGAAAGTGTAAACTATTTTGATGCACACTTTTTAATTAACATGACATTTGATATTTGGGCTTGGGAATCTCAAGTATTTCCATGTCAAAGGGCTCAAGTAATCAAATGTGTGACTGAGTCCAAGTCAAGTTACTCAAGTTTACACTGATGTTTTGTACTTAGTGAACAATATTTATACGGTATATTCAAATATAGGGCCAACTCTCCATCATCTCTTTCACTGTTTCTAGGCGATTCATCTGGTTCAATTCTAGTATTTGATGTTCCCAGTAAAGGCAGTAATATTACTCTGTCAGACGTCCTGAAGGGTCACAAGAAGTCCATCACTGACATTGCCTCAGAGTGCTCAGGCAGCCAGGTATGGTGTGTGTGTGTGTGTGTGTGTGTGCTAGTTCTTTTTTTTTCTATCTGAACCTATGTTGAATTGGAGTATCTCTAACTTTTCCATGATTGAAAGACATACAATACATACACATTAATAATGTACCTGTTTTAATACATGATCCTATCAATTCTGTTGCTCTCTTTGTTGCCTCAGGATTGCATAGCTGATCTCATCAGTGCAGATGATGGGGGCAATCTGTGTGTGTGGAAGTCCGGGGAGGAATTTCAGCGGTTCAACAACATCCCTGGCTTTGAGTAAGAACTTGATTGCATAATAATGTATTGTCTTTTGAGTGGTAAAATATCGAGCTTTGATAATGAGATCCATGGTAAAATTCCATCATCACTCGTGCATTGCATTGTTGTATTTATCTACTCCACATTATGTTCTGTTGCACTGCCCATTATTCCTTATTCATTTTCCCTCCTGGCTCTAATCTAATGTCCATGATCTTTTCCCTGATCTCCCTAATTGCAATCACCCTCTATCAACCTCACTGCTTTCAGTATAAGCTGCACATCGGTCAAGTTATGGAAAGGTACAGCCGTGGCAGGTTATGGCACAGGTCAGATTCGTCTCTATGAAGCAGTGACGGGAATCCTGCATGCTGAGGTCAATGCCCACGCTCGCTGGATATACTCACTGGACATTGCACCTTTTTCTGGGCTGGTGAGTTGTATAAATCAAATGGATATAGAGTTGTTTATAGAGATAACAAGAACAAGTTGTTATGATTTTTAGATGTTCTAGTTAAAATGAATAATTACTTAAATGACCAACATTATTTAGATCTTAAGCTCTTAAGGTGTTTGGGCATATCTCATGATTTTTTCTTTTTCTTTAGCTTCTGTCTGCTGCTGAGGACTCTCTGGTCAGGGTCTGGCACCTGTCAATCAAACCAGAATCCCTAAGTGTGGAGGTAACTAGACTTGACACAAAATACAAAACTTGTTTGTTTTAATACATTCACAATCAAGGCACACTTTTCTAGTGAATTTCTCCACATTTAAACAAAACTTACTCTCAAAGCAACCCTAACTGTGTGTTTTCCTCATTTCCTTTTAGGTTGCCCATTTGCACAATGAGTGTGTGACAGACACACAAATCTGTGGCGCCAAGTTCTGTGACGGCGATGGTCACGCCTTTGCAGTGACAGGGTATGACCTGAGTGAGATTATTCGCTACACCCAGTCATAGGAATTTGCTCTAGTTGACGTATATGAATGTAAATTTGGTAAATTGGAGAATTTTCGGAAAGAAATCATGAACTCAAAGAAACAGAGTCATAAGTGGCCAGCTTAAGGTCATGGTGACATTCTGCAAGGACCATGGGAAAATCATTACATGTTACATGTTATTTTTGTCTTTAAATGTAGGAAGAAAATTAGCCTATTACAGAATAATTCAAAAGTAACGTGTATAAAAAGTACACGTATGTACATGTATGTAAATCTAGCTTTAACATTTATAAATATTATATTATTCTTTCTGACAAAATGTATGTTTTAAACAACTGTACCAGTAAACATTTTTATTAAAAAAAAACCTGTATCTTGGTAATTCCGCACTTCACAAATCCACCAATAGATGGGGCTGTTGGTTATTTTATTTCTTTGTGCAGGCAGGCCAATGACAGTTTAGTGCTAACAGACTTTAGGACAAGGCGGAGTGGCCTAAAAGTTATTCACCAAAGTGGACTATCTAAAAAAAACATAACATTGTGATTTTATTCTGTGTGCGGCCCCACAGGCCCCTCATGCCCAGTAGGGCACTTCGCAGAGGGAGGGTATTTGTTTTTTTGTCTCTTTCTCTATGCAACATCTCTTCTCTTCCAGGCATGTTCGAAGACATGTGGCAGACTTTCAATGTATAACTAGATTTGTTTTCAATGTATTCACTTTTTTTCTCCATTATTGTAATTTACTGTTATAGGGCAAGACATCTACATACACGGCAAAAGTGAAACACATTTCCAACCATGCCTATGAGATCTCTATGATGTATACGTTCACCTTGCTTTCTTGTTATGTTTCCTACAAAAAGACTTGAAGAACTAGAACACATTTTCTTCAGCCAAAAGCAATCTACTTACTAACATAATCAATTTTTTAGAATGACTGTGCAGAACCAACTCAAGACACAACATCCCAAAGTACAACCGATATATTGTTTTGTAGGATCTGTTAAAAAAAAGCTAAAAATGCCTTCAAATTCAATTGCCATCTCAGTTTTAAAACCTGGTCTTGTTCATCACAGATCATGGAATTTTTTTTTCAGGCAACCAAATAATCCCACCAACTTTATCGTAACAAGATTAAAACGAATTAGGTCAGCGAGGAATTGCATGCTGTTAGTCAGTTTATGGCAACGCGTATAGAATCCTACAGTACTAGTGTTATCTGGTTTGCAGTCAACACCGGTCGCATCAACATCAACTGACAAGACTGTTTTGAACCCACACACAAGGCATGTGATCTTACTCAAATTTAGTAGGTACCAACTGACAGTCAGGTAATGTTGATGGCTGTACACCAGTAACATGAAAACACAAACTCCTCATGAAATCAAATACTTTCAGTATGCTGCTTCCCAGCTGCCTGGAATGGGGTAACTAACTATACTGGCTGGAGAGTGTCAATGGAGAACTAAGCTATCGATATTTGGTCACAAATGACACACGCACTTAGGTTACATAACTAACTGAAACAAAAGAAAGGGAGGGAACGGTTAGTCAAATGTGATACATGGAATAAGCAAAGGATTTAAAAAAGCAGAGAAGAGTATACAACTTGTAAAAGAAAGGGTTGAGAGTATAGATACATGGAATATGACTTCACATTTCACAAAAAAACGTGGATACAAACAACAGCAGTCATTTATTTCTTGTCGAGTAAGTCAATAGTTCTGTTCAACGCTCTAGTCCCATGCACAGCCCCGGGGCCGCTCATGCTGTGTTGCTACAACACTTTTCAATAGTCAGATCTTAGGTGATACACACAGCTGAGCACACAATGTTGGGGAGATCAGAGCCCAACATGAACTGTTCTCAGATATGATGTGATTCTACTATGTATTCATGTGTGTACGTGCAGGTGTGTCAATAATCAATAGTAGTAAAGCAACATTGTTCTCCAGTCATATTCCCCAGTAGATACTTATACTCTATTAATGTGAAGCGCAAGTCAAACGTTTATTTTGCAAGGCCCCCCAGTGGTCAGACGTGTCTTTCTTCTATACATCAAAGATAAACACACTGCACACAATATGAATAGGACACAGTGTGCTGTTATTATGGCATGTTTATGGGACTGGCTGTCCAGCTATTAAGAAGTGACGAAGTTTCACATTCTAAATTAAATATAGTTAATTGACCAACAAGACAAGCTAGTCCAGCGCACAACTGCACATTCGGTATCGACCAAGCCCAGTCTGCCATACCCAGGTTACAATACAAACACATCCACCAATTTCAGTTATGATCTTATGCTTTAGTGGGTGTGGTAGGCATCTGTATGTGAAACCACAGCATGCATTTTTAAGGCTGTTACTCTGAGTGTTTCTTCATTATTGTGTTGGAGAAAGAGCATTTTATCCCAGGCCCAGACAACCTTGTGGCAGCTGCCTAGGCCTGTGCTGCTAAGCCTACGGGGATTGAGCCTCACCGGGGGGGGATGAAGAGTCTAAAGCCTCTCCAGCCTGCTGCCAGAGACAGCCCAGCTCTCTGAGGAAGCAAGCACCAAACCAGCCCCTGTAAACATGCTGTATAAATAGATATTTAATTTTAAACACATTGAAATGGAAAGGGAAGAGTGGTACTACACACTGACAGAGCTGAAAGGCTGTCAATGCTGACTGACAGATGAGCAGACAAACCACAAATAGGTCAAATTACAATCACAGTTGATCAGAAAATATCTTTATATGGTTAAGGTTAAGGTTAGTTTATTTATATAGCACGTTTTCCGACACAGAGGCAATCATGGTATGATATGCCAGGATTGCAGCAAGGTGAACATTGCTTGTAAATGCTGTTGTTGAAAACACTGAACATGTACAGCACTAATATCTTCACTTTATGTGTTGCATAGGACTTTTTGAATTTCTGTATTTTTTCTGCTACCTCCGCGACCCGACCACAGATAAGCGGGAGAAGATGGATGGATGGATGGATGGATGGATTTTTTCCACTGGCTGGAATAACTCAGTAGCATTGAAAATCTGGTTCTGTATTGTAAAATAACCAACAGCTGGTATTATAGGCTTCATTAAATCCTTATTCTTCTGGAAACATTTGATAAATCTTTAATTATTTTAAGTTGATATGGGGAACTTGTTAGCAAACTACTGTTTATTACAGATCTAGTGGAGCAACATTATTGTTTATCTGGAGTTGGATTTCTGGCCATCTGGCAAATATGTCCAATTATCATTCTCTTTGGCTCTGTTTTGGCTCTCTTTCAATCTCTGAGGAAAATATTGGGTTATTTGGCTGCTAAATGCTCCATTATATTATTTTAACAGGAGGTTGAGAGTGAGGTGTTAGTACTTTTATGCTCAAGCTGCAGCAAAGAATGGCATTGTTAGACCAATATAGTTACAGACGGGGCAACTCAACAAATTGGCTCAGACTTGCTTTAAAGCTCGGCCAGCTAAGTTGAGATTTACGTTAGAGTTTCTTGAAAGGTTCGTCACTTTGAGCCACCCTGTAAATATTGTCTTATTGTTTCACACTGTGATTTTACTTTTGCTACAATACAAAATATGGATTAGGTACTTTAAATCATAGTTTTGCTCATTTAAACTGTTGTCATTGCAGCCAACCTTGATATATTTTTTAGCAGTTAAGGATGGTTACATACAATTGTTCTCTTCATATCAACTTTAATTATTCTGTGCTACTGACTTGTTCAAATGGTTTGCAGGATGACAGGGCAGATGGAACCGGTTAAGGAGAAGGAAAAGAGGGCGTGTAAATAACTACAATTTCGTAATGGTTTTAATGATAATTGGAATGTGGAGTGACTAAAGAGGCCTGACTACGTGGGCAGCTCACCCTGTCTGCAAACATGCACAAATTACTGAAATGAGATAATAGTGGTTTAGCTCTGTGTCAATGCTACAAACTGCCTCATACTTAATCCATGCCAACCCACTGCCGCAGCCACAGCTCCTGTACATCATTAAACTGTACCATGGAAAACCATACCCACACATGTCATGGCAGGACAATCCACCCTTCCTGTTTCGAAAAAGGCCTCTGATATTGGGGCAAAATGTCTCAACATACAGTAGTGACTCAATACTGTATGCTGAGAAATGTTTCCGTATGTACTATTGACTGACTCACTGTTTGCAAAACCTCTCTGGAAAATCGGCTCATGAGAACACACGTTAAAGCTCATCTGATGAAAGAAAGATAAGGGTCCATTCATTATGATGACAGATTTGCTTGGTAGTTGAAAGATTTGTTAAAATCATTGACTCTTTCATTTTTGGTTTCCAACAAGAAAAGTCTTAAAAGTTGTGAATACAGGGGTAAGTGAGCACTTACCATTTAGCTGACCACCCGCCAACACTAACATACCCCCAGTAACGTCATTTAGAAGGCATGGGTAGGCATTGGGACTTGAGTGCATCAGATTGGAGTAAAATATACATGATCAGAGCCATCTGCACAGGGATGGCATAGTTGCCTAGCACTGGGCACTGTTTGGATTGTCTGACGTTGATGTGCTGACGGTGAAGTGTGTGCCCTTGTGTGCGTGTGTGTGTGTATGCACGCATTTGTGTGCGCTTGTGTGTGTTTGTGTTTGTGTATAATATATGCGTATGTGGCCATATGTGCAGATGGCCTCAGTAAGATCATGATGAATGATGGATTTATTTTCTTGACAGTCTTCCAAAGAAATTCAGCCCTGTCTCGGATTTGAATCAGTATGTCAGTCAGTGCACACTAATGTGTGTGTTCTTGTGCAAATGTTTAGTTTAGTTTTAAAGGATATTCATTGTTTTATAATTCATAATATGAACAGTGATAATTTGTGTTTAATGTTTATCATCAAAATAACCAATTTCATTGTGAGACAAAACTAGACTGACATGCTTTGTGTTGATTATTCCACCAGAGTAAATAATAATAAATAATAACATTTGACATAATATAATATAATATATCACTCTCATGGTAATGCTCTACCAAACTGAGCATAATATGTTTTTTTCATTCCCACTCTTTTTATCACACCTAAATACCCCTCTCATTACCTAACAGAGTTATTGAATCTCAAAATAGAGTCACAGTAATAACAACAGCAATATCCTGGCAACCCATATCGGCGTGCTCTGTTAGTGAGCCTGCTAATAGGGTTAATGTGAAAGAGATGAATGGGTGTCTTCAGGGCACAACCTTAATTTGAAATACATAAACATTTCCGTCAAGAGTGTGTTCGTCGTTTCCTGCATGGGCTCATGCAGATGAACAGAGTAAGAGAAATGCAGGGTTTATGAGTG